CCACTTGGCGCATGCCCTCTGCTTTTCTAACTTTCTTTGTGTCAAAAGTAATAAATCAGAGATTGTTTTCTGTGCATTGTGTAGTACTGGCCATTGCACAAAGGTCTTTTCCATTTTCTTTTTATTTTTCATAGGTTGCAACACGTCATTTGCCTCCCTCGGACCTCGCGATTATTTTTTTAGCATTTCCTGTATTTTCTGAGAGTGCGTTGTTTTCTTGTCATTTTCATTTTTTTAAACATCCTCTTCATACCTCCACAAGCGTCTTTGCCCACAGCGTGTATTATCAAGTTCAGTGTGTATTATCTCCAGTTCTCCTCCTGTTCCTCCGTCAGGAAGTTCTTACTCGTCCTGCTTGTAAAGGATGGAACTCTCTGGGCCCACACAAAGCATCAGACGCTTCCATCCCGGGGAAGAAAGACTGTGGCATGGGCTTTTTATTTACTAAAGGCTTATACGAAAGCAGAGTAAAGGCTCTGTTCCCAGTGTCCCCAGCTGTGTGGTTGTTACAGATGCTGTTGTCCTGCTGAGAGCTGGAGCCCCCACTGAACGTGGAGATAAATGCCCCCATCCAGCCCAGCTTCAGTGTGAGTAAAGGAAGAAAGTGCTTTAGAACCCCTGTGAGTTCACTCTGGAGCTCTCAGTAATCAGGAACCGCCACTTTTCCTTTCTCCTTGAAAGAGGAATTGCAAATAAATGAGGTCAGAAAAAGAGATCTAAAGAATAAAAGCCCCTAGTGGGAAGTTTTCGTAAAAATTAAGAAAATAGGTCATTGAAGTTGGGTGGAGGTAAGAGAGAATAGCAAATCAGGGGGACCGGTATTGAAATGTCCCTTTGGGGCACATGTTGTTTAAGGGTGCAAACTTGCAAGGAGTAGTAAATAAGTCCTAGAGAATAGTGCACAGCATAGCAAATACAGATAATAATGCGTTATAATCACCAAACTTGCTAAGAGACTAGAACTTAATGATTCCAATCACTGAAAAGAAAGGATCATTATGTAACATGATAGAGATGCTAATTATCACAATGATGGCAATCATATTACAACACATAAACGTATGAAATTAACATGCTGTACATCTTCAATTTGCACAATGTTCTATGTCAAATACATTTCAATTAAAAAAAATGTCAAAATGCACCATTGGGAAGGAGACCAAAAACTGGAGTCTAGAATCTACATTCCCACATTGCTTAGGGACCAAGCAATGAAATGGGTGAAATGGGTGGGGGGCCAGGCTGTGGAAGAAGTGCTCTGGCTATGGTCATCCTAAGCCAAGTTCAGGTTGGTGTACAATTCCGTATGCTGGGGAGGATGCTTGAGAAAAACTTTCGGGTTCTTATGAGTATTTACCCCTCAGCTATGCTGGGCTCAGTAAATTAAAGTTATCCACAGCACTTTCGCTTCCAACCTTTCATGTTCTCCTGAGTGTCTGAGACCACCAGGGGGATAGGGGAAGGAGTGTGGACAGAGCCAAAAATTGGGAACACTCCTTTTGATACCAACAGCAACAATCACCACCAGCATCTGAACTGCCCAGTACACCTCAGGAGTTATTCTCTTTAGGATGGGCACAGCCATCTTGGCTGGGCTGTATTCCCCTTTAGACTGATTCTGTTCACTCCTTATATTAGAAGAAACCTTTCATATACACTGACTTCTTTGAGTTTTTCCACAACACTCAAAAGCAGGCTTTATGATTATCAACTTCATTTTGCAGATGTTCAAATGAAGCATCAAGAAGACAAGTGGTCAACCTAAAGTCACACAGCTGGCAAGTGGAAAACGACTCAGTCCAGACCTTTGGTCTTTAAATTCTGGACTCCTGCGTGACCCTACACTTTTTACCTGGAGACAAAATAGCATGGGCAAAGACCAACAAGAGCAGTATCGATGAAGATCAGCGAAATACAGCTGCGGAGTCCACGCTGCTCATTTTAAATGGTAGGAATTGTCCAACTGTGGTCTGGCTGATGTGGTTATTGTGGATACAGTCACGATGAGAGGAAACACCGCAAAATCAATTAAGCCAATTAACACCTGGTTGGGAATTCCCCCAGCAGAGGAATGGCTGCTTGTAGCACTGGTTATTGTCTTCAATTCATTCCTTAATGCAAGTTTCAATTCAACTGTGGCGCTCTTTCTTACCTTTGTCCTAGTATTCTCACTCCTGGGAATTTCTGCTGGGGACATAAGTCAAAGGGAAGAAAAAGCTATGTGTATGGAGATGTCATTGCAGCTTTATCTATAACAGCAAAATATTGAAAGATTTAATGCCCAATTACATAGGAATATCTAAGTTATGCTAGATCAATTTGATAGAATATTATGCAGCAATAAATACAAGGGTTATAACAATTATATAACAAGATGGAAAGACTATAATATTAAATATTAAAAGAAGAAGAAAAAATACACTGGCTATAGTTTGGTGAAAATATGTTTTTGTAAGGACAAAGATTGAAAAGATAAAGATAGTGAGTTATACATGAATATTTTTAAACAATTTCTTTTAAATGTTGTCCTCACAAATAAAAATCAAATAGAAAACGCAAAATAATAAATAACTGTTGCTCAGTATTAACCGAACTGCCATTGTGTGCCTGTATGTATGTGCATTGTGTGTCTGTATGTATGTGCATGTGTGTAGTCTAATAATGTATCATATCAATTTAAAGTCAAGATTCCTGCAAGTTAACACTCAGCATTTTCATTAGTAAGCTTTTTAACCTCTGTGGTTGTAAATTCATCCATCTATAGGAAGAGTAATTTTTATAGTAGGCGTTCAATAAACATTTCTGAGTGAATGAATGCATAGGCAATAGGAAGAGATCATACTCCTGTGAGGGACACGCACCTCGTTTCTAACAGACTTTTTTCAAACTCTTGAGGAAGGGAGAGGCAGAGTCACGAAGTTCTTTTGTGTTCTTGTAATGAGGGAGGCAAAGATATTTTCTGGACTGTCCTCACTCTGGTGTCTGTCATAACTTCCTCTCTACAGCGTGGAAGTGTGTGTCAGGTGTACATTTAAAAGCATATCTATTTGAATAAAACACTCATTGCATAAGTAGCTCCTAAGGGACAATGGGGAACCGATGTGACTCCATGCCCCCACTCCCCACTCTGCCCACACAACCAACACAACACATGGGTCCCTCTCGTCCAGGGTTCCAAGAAAGGAGGCTTTACGAAACTGCCCAACCCGGAGGAGAACTGGGATTCCTGAGTGGGTTGATTTTGGGTATTAAACCACCCAACATAGTTAAAGTGTCAAAACAAAATTCATTTCTCGTCTTCAAAATGATAATAATTACAATGACAATGGTACTTACTTTCCTTCAAATCATTGGATCACAAAATGGTCACAGTCATCTTTTATCACCAGGACCTGGCATGCTCTCTAGCACTGTGCTGGGCACAGAGTGGATGCTGGAGTGGACGAATTCTGTGCCAGCACCAGGGGACTCGGCCTGTGTGCCCCCTCTACCCAAGGGCCCACTCTCAATCTCCACAATTATGGTGTTTTCTTAAAGAAATCATTTTTTGAATAAGTAGATATAAGCAATTGGTAGAAAATTTTTAAAAGAAGAACAATATGTAGGAAAAATAAGTCTCCTTCCTGACCCCTTTTCCTAAGCCACCGGGTCCCTTTCCAGTGATATCTCTGTAGATACAAGCATACATGTGTTGAAAGATTTTTTGGAAATTCAAAGCATTCCATAGTGTAGATGTACCATAATTTATTTAAACAGTTTACTATTGATGAAAATGCAGGTGGTTTCTCATTTTTGCTTTTACAAATAATGGTCCTGTTAAAAAATAAGCTGAGGCATATTAAACTGTTTAAGAGTTTGTTTGAGTAAAAATCAGTTCGAATCAGGCAGCATCAAACCGGAAGTGGTTAGGAGCGCTCCCCTGACAGCAGCTCCAGGAGACATTTACAGAAGAAAGGCGGAAGCCAAGCAAGGACGTTCATTATTGATTGGTTGTGGCTTAAAGCCTAGTGGGCTGTTTGTGACTGATTGTCCTTGTTTCGATTTCCTAACCTTGAAGCATTCATGGGCTTAGGTTTTAATTTGCTTCTATCGGCCTCCACGGTGTTAGAGCCACCTCTGTCTAAAGGCCTCCTTGTTTAATTAATTTAACGGTACAAATGTACAATTCTGCACATGTGTGTATCCACCTGTAGTTTAAGTGCCTAGGTGAGGAATTGCTAGAGGGATGAAACAGAGAGTGGATATTGGGGATATCCAGATATCTATGACTCAGCAGGGACGAGGGAATATTTATGTCATGTCATTTACAAAGAGTTGACAATTTATGATGACTTCCTCTCCGAAAGTTTAATGTGTCTAGTTATTCAGTTCTCCTCTTACGTCCACCTTAAAATTTCCTTCATCTAAGACTTACACATTTCTTATTTAATTTTATTCCTAGCTGTTTTCTCTTTATTTTTGTTGCTATTGAAAATAGAGTCTTTTTCTTATACTTTATCTTCCAATTATTGTTTAGATATGTAAAGCCTGTTGATTTTGGTATATTAATTGTATTAATTGTGTAAAACTTTTTCTCTTAATTGTCTTAGGTTTTCTAGCTTATCATTACGCCATCTGTAGATATTAATGTTGTATCTCCTCCTTTCCAAATTATAGCCCTCATTTATTTTTCTTGCCTAACTGAATGAGCCAGTATCTCCAGTAAAGCGTTACCAGTGATATTGGTGGCAGCTTTGTCCTGTTCCTCACTTTAGTGGTAATGTTATTTTCAATGTTCTCAATCAAGGGGTCTGAAATAGAAAGTTCTATTGTTTTCTGATTGGTTGATACCTGAAAGTAAACACATACACAATTTTAAAGCATTGCTTGATTAGGAACGTTTTGTGTGAAGTAAGCAATTGTCCAGTTAATCATCCTGTAACAAAAACATGGGATGAATAAACCTAAGTTTTTCTATCATCCATACCCCAGAAGACAAAAAAAAAAATGTTAAAGGTGCACCATGCTTGAATATCAGTTTTAATTTCATGTAACAAAAAGTAAACTTCATGAAGCAATAAATTATATGACAAAATTCAAAGATTAGACAAGGTGAGGATGTTAAAAATAAAAGTATCGAGTCACTTAGACAAAAAGGCATTGACCAATGAGTGCTAGGTTGCTCTCTCGAATGCTTTCTGAAAAACACCAGTTGGATGGGGATTTTCAAGAAAACGTGCCCCGCGTTAGGCAGTAAGTGGTTGCTCCTGGCAAGGCTGTTGTGGTGGATTGGGAATGAACGGTTAGTTGGGACAGTGGTGGGTGGGCAGGTGGGCTTCAGCCTGTCTGAGCCCAGCCTTGACGGCCGCGGGACAGTGGGGCTCACCTCGGGCAGTGGGAAGTCAAGATTCCCGAGGCTCAGTTCCTCTGACTCTCCAGGAAGGACTTCCAAGGCAACCACGAGTTCTTAAGTGAACTAGTAAGTTCCATGGCTCAAAGTCCCAAAGAGACATTAAAGGCACTTTAGAAAGAACACCAGTTACGAGCATTCTACCTATCTCCAAGTGCTACTGTTGCTTCAGTGCTTACCAGCTCTGTGCCTTGAGGAAGTTAATTAGTTTCCTAAGGCTCAGTTTGGCCATCTACAAACACCCACATCCTAAGGTTGCTATAAGAATTAACGGTGATAATGACTTTAAAGGTCTTAGGACATCCCAGCACATACACACGAGCCCTTACATGTTCCCCGGATGGGCAGACCACCCCGATGGCAGAGGAAGAAAACTTTCTTATATTCATATGATTTGGGGAAGGATCATTTTGATCTTGAAATTTCAGGAAGTTGGAAGGAACTGAGGCTGTTACAGACTGAGAAGGTGCCCCGACTCGGGCTGCTGAAAGATAAACCGGCAGCCATTTCAACGCCAGCGTCTCAGCACGCGGGGCCATGTAATGTATCATTTATTCTCTCACACTGTGGCACAGGCAGATGAGCATCGAAGTCACCACTTTCAATCTGCCCTTTGGCTTGTGATCTTGACTGTCTCCATAAAAGTTTAAACTGTAATTGTTGTTGTCTTGTTGCTTTTAAACTCAAGCCTTAATTTCTTTTTATGTTGCCCTCACAAAAACTGCCCTGTATTATTGTTTGAGGTAAATGGTCCTGGGTCTTCTGTGGTCACAGTGGCCAAAGAGGGGGTTTGTCCTGAGACAGCTGTGTGGCCAGCGGAGGACCCCTGGCCTTTAGCAAGCTTCCTGACTGACTCAGACACCAGCAAAGGCTAGAGATGAGTTGCAGCACGTGGTAAAAGCATCATTCACCTGCCCCAGTACTTAAACTTGGTCAGGCCTCTCAACAAGGAAAGGAACACATTGTCCACTGAGGGTCCCAGAGAACCCTTATTTGGGGGGCCACTCAGAGCAGTTATCAGCTTCCAGGCTTTTCAAATACATCAGGACCTCACAGAATTATTCATGATGATGCCTGAGTAACACAAAACACTTGGGGCAGTGACTGTGAACATGCCTTCCATCTGGGAGGCTTTTTAAAATGACGCACGTCAAACTACGGATTCCTTATGGACAATACGGGCAGTTCTGACTCTTCCCAAGTTTTGCTTTACTGGAATCAATTTAAAGATTCAAGGATTTCAAGTGCCATGTGATGAGTACATAATAATTTTTAGCTATAGTTATAAATAATTCAGGAATTTGGTCCATCATCAAAAAACCAAGAATTCCTGGAACAAACCGATTATACTTATTAAAATATGTATCATATATTTTCAAAAATGCTGAAGATAAAACTGTAGAGAACACAACCAGCAAATTGACAATGAGCAAATTCAAACACTGTGCTTTGCTCTGTTCCCTGAACCGTGGCCAATGGCTGGTGTGAGCCGGGGCATCTCCTTGACTGAGGACAGCAGCTCTGCACAGCACGGGAGCCCCAGCAAAGCACCAGCTGCCTTCTGAAAATGACAGTGTGACTTCAGGAAGTGGCAAAAATTGTCTCATGTGCATAGATCCTGACGGAGGCAGGAGCTGCGCTCTTTCTGTAAGTATAAACGAGAACAGAAGTGCAAAAAGAGCAATTAGTCAATTAAACTCACCAAACTGTGGCAAATAGTTATTAAGCTCAACATTGCAAAAGTCAGGGTTTGGTCTCTAACACACACACATACAAGTGACGCAAACCAGGATTGGGACCACGACTTCCCCCAAGAGCACAGTGCCGCACAACACTAGATTGGCAGGATATTAATAGGATTTAAGTGAAAAAAAATCTATGACCCATTAAACTTGGGAAGTTTGGGGTTGCACAAAATCAAGCAGATTTCTTTACTATAAGCTCTGTCACAGGCTAATATGCTAATGTGCACTGTGGCTCTCCAAGCGGAAATTACGGCATGGCATATTTCCCAAACGTACTTGACGGAAGGGGGACCCCTTCATTTGTGGAGCATTTCTCAGAGGCTGTTTTCCTCAGTGCGCTTTACAAAGTGTGCCTAATTGAACTCAGCCTGTTTCTCAGCTGCCTCAGCAGGAGGGGCCCCGCAATGCCCCACGTGACTGAGTACTGCATGGCTGTACTGAGTATGCAGTGCCTTATTGAGTATGCAACTCCTTACTGAGTCCTACACTATCTTAGTGAATACTGTGCTGCCTTACTGAATACTGCACTGCCTACCTAGTACTGCACTGCCTTACTGACTACTACACTGCCTACCTAGTACCACACTGCCTATCTAGTACTGCACTGCTTTATTGAATACTGCACTACCTACCTAGCACTGCACTGCCTTACTGAGTACTACACTGGCTACCTAGTACTGCACTGCCTTACTGAGTAATACACAGCTTATCTAGTACTGCACTGCTTTATTGAATACTGCATTACCTACCTAGTACTGCACTGCCTTACTGAGTACTACACTGCCTACCCAGTACTGCACTGCCTTACTGAGTATAGCACTGCCTACCCTGCACCGCACTGCCTTATTGAGTACTGGACTGCCTACCTAGTACTGCGTTGTCTTACTGACTACCACACTGCCTACCTAGTACTGCACTGCCTTACTGAATACTACACTACCTACCCTGTACTGCACTGCCTTACTGAGTACTGCACTGCTTCACTAAGTCCTGAACTACCTTGCAAGTACTGCACTATCACACTGAGTATGTACTGTCTTACTGAATACTACGCTGCACTCGGATTTCCACGTCTGTGTCCTCCCTGACACCGCGTGGAACAGGCGTAGGAGGAAAATAAGAGGTTCAAGAGTTTAAACATGCTGCCTGATCCATTTATGTCCCCACCACCTTCCCACTCTCCCAGCAGGTGAATTTCAGAATATCCTGATGGAACACCAGGGACCCCTTCTGTAGAGTCGGGCATCGCCACAACAGGAAAACCAAAAGCCTGCACATCACTGATAGGCTGTCACTTTAAAACAATATCTTTAGGAATTTTTCATATTAATGCTTCTGAGATTACAGTGAGTCACAGGAGAAGTAAGGTGAAAAGCTGTTGATTCCAGACTCTAGGGTTAATTAGCTCCCTTATTCCACACGCCTGTAGGAAAGTGTAATAGGTATGGTGAGAGGGATTTATGTTAGGTTCCCTTTTTATCGGTTCTTGAATCAAGAGATATTTTAATTGCAGCAAAAAGCAAGATGGTACAGGAAAAGAGACATTTTTCTAGCAGAATTCATGCCAGCTTCTCTCTAATGGGGGCTGAGATGAAAAGCTTTTCAAGTCCTGTGCAGGATGCTCCTGTTAATGACACAGTCAAGGTGCCTCTGACTGACATTTAGAGGGAGATTCAGCAGACCCGTCCCCCCTCCATGGTCCAATGTGCAGACTTCCCATCTCAGCCTCAGGAGAGCGAATGTGATCCACCTTTCTACCGAGAGACCTCGAAGCTCTGTGTCTCCATAATTGATTCAGGCACATTGGTTACGCGGGGGAGGTGAGAGCAGCCCCGAGCATCCATATTGATGATGTGGTCACTCACCCTCCTTCCCCCATCCTGTCATGCCTCAGGCCTGTGCTTCCCGGACACCAGCTGTCACACAGGAAGCTGCAGCCTCTCTTTCTCCTGCGTCCTTTGCTGGCTGGAGCTGCAGGATCATGGCCTGCAGAGTTTCCTTCACCATCTGGAGCTCCCTCTTGAGAGACTGTGAGCACATTGTTAAGGAACACATGCGAAGGTGATGGGCGGCCCTCTGCAGCCTCCGAGGGATCTAACAAGAGCATGCCTGCCTGCTGGAAGCTGACAGGCACTGCCATCTAATTGCAGTTTCAAGTTCTTCCAAATTGTAGGAATTAAATATTAATACCAATTTTACACTTCTTTTAAGAGCCATTGCAATTTCTACAAGGCCCAAGGTTATTAACTATCTCAAGTAAGGTCTCAGAAAGGAAAAGGAAGAGTCAGCTCTTAGACCGAGACAGATGGCCAACGGGGACGCCCCAGGATACACAGGCAGTGTGACCGTAATTCCTGCTAAGCCCCAAGCTGGGGTGGGGAAACTGTCACATCCAAGTGCTCTGACAGTGGAAAGGGCAGAAAGCTGGCAATCAGAGCCTCCTCTGGAAATCAGAGCCATCCAGGATTTGGGGCCACCATAGGAGCAGAAGGGTGCTCTGACCCAGACTCCGAGTCATGAGTTATGGTCCCTGTTGGTCACCAGCCAGCCTTATCATCTTGTGCAAATCACTTTGAACCTCCGTTTTCTCGTGAAACGATGACTTCTAAACCCCTGTGGGTCCTAATCTGCTGTCACATGTTACACTCCCAAGTACTTATAGAATAGCCATTCAGGGTACTCAAGATTTGACCCAGTGTAGGGAGCTTGTCTTTTCTGGGTTTGTTTGTTTTTCCTTAAACTGTTGCGTTCTTAGTTTCCTAACCTGTAAAGCTGTTTCTCACATAGAGAAAACAATCACAGAGAACTTAGCAGACAATTATATGGAATAAATAAAGCTGTCATTCTCTTAAGAAATGGGCTCTCTTCTGAGTGTTTGAGCCGGGGAACGTTCACCCAATGGTGGTTTTCTGTCTATCCACAGTCAGGTCCCTCTGCTCTTTCCTTTTGTACCTGTAGTCAGAACAACTCTAAGATAAACACAGGGTGAGAGATAGGTTGAATTCTCTTAATTTAACAAGCAAACCAATTTAACCTCATCCAACAGGAATGAAGGCGAAACATAGCAATATGTCAACATCACTTAAACACCATTAAAAATCATCACATGAGGTCAGACCACTTAAATATTACTAGATCAGAGAGAGAGAAAACAGAAAGCTTTAGGGAAAGTAGCTCACAGAGAGCTTACCACTCACAGACTGTCTATGCTACAATGTTGTGGTATTTAAGTACAATGTCAATGCAATGTCAAGGGAAAAATACACCCTTAGGTTATAACTGTAGAAAGCTTTCTCTTTCTTTTTTAAATAAGAAACTCCGGAGGATCCTGGGAATCATTCAAATGAACCTCTCCTGAGCAAAAATGCTGAACCACCCTGAAAAGCTTTTGGCAGCTTTTCATCCTCTTGAAGCTTCATGAGAGGACATCATTTATGTAATTTACATACATTTACTATGATGGTTCACTCCTTTGCACTTGAACTCGAGGGGAATGAGGGTGGGGTTGGTTGGGTGCAAGGGAAGAGAGAATCCAACATTTGTCTTTTTTTTTTTTTCTAAGAGGCTTCATTTTTCTCCATTTCTCTGGACAGCTCTGCTAATCTTTAGTGAAAATACATATGACTTTATACAAGCAAAAGCATAAGTGGTCCCAGATCGAATATCAAGCTGCAACTTCATCACAAGCTATGCTACATCTATAAAGACTAAGCATGGAGCTTAAGCAGTTTATGAATCCTGACCAACTCCTGAGATTTAACTACCTTTCATACGCAGCCTGGGACTACACGCCCCTATTTGTAACATGCTAAATGATAACAAAGGTTTTTAGAGAGAGAAACTGAACCGAAATGAGATGCTTCCGAGAGACCTCGTAACATTTCTGGCACTGGCAGGACATGCTAAAAAGATTTTTAAAAAGAGAGTGATTGAGAAGCCATGAAAGACAAAGACGAAGGTAACTAAAATAACACATCATCCGTCTCCTCTGACACGTGGAGGAGTCAGAAGGTAAGGATTCGAGGATGCAATCCACAGTTATGGGGAGCTAGCAAATCATTGAATGCTTTAATTTTCTCACATGTAAATGCAGATTCTCATACCTTCTTCACAGGACTAGGGTTAAAAGAAATATTCTTTTTCGTGAGAGTATAGTGCCTTTTGTGAGGCACTATGAAATTTCAGGTTTATTTACTAATACAGCAGATGTAGCAAATACCGTAGACGCTAAGCAGGGCTAGACGTCAGAAATCCTGGAAACCTCATTTAGGAAGCCTGTGGAGCACTAATCCTCAATACGATTAAAATCATGTTTTTATTTATAAAATACTTCTCTCTAACCAACCTGCTTGTATGATTCTCTACTAAATGTTGAATTCCAAAATATTTTGAATGTATTCAATTGGAACAGAGTCCAGGATAAAATGTGGAGTGGGAAAAAAAAGCAAGTTGCCGAACAATTTGTTTGGAATGATCCTAATTTTCCAAAAAAAATTTTTTAAAAAAAGAAAAAAGATTCTAGAGATAAGCCATTTCTGGCTAGAAAAGTGTCTTAGGGGGACACAGTGGTGGACTTCTAGGATTGGTACTCAGAAGGAGATGGAGCCTTTTTTTCTTTTTCACACCTCTGAAATATTTACAATGGACATGCATACTTTCACATTTAAATCAGTGTTTACAAAAGAAACCACTTGAAACATTTCTCCATTAAGCACCTGGGGAAATGAAAGTGTGGCTAGAGATCCTCGTTCTTACTTTCATTCATTCAAATATCCAAGCACTTCCCGAGCTCCTACTGTATGCTAAGAAATGTTCCAGACGTAGGATGTGCAGGAGTGAAATGAAGTAAGTCACTGCTGCCATGGAGCTTAAGTGCCAGTGAGTGGAGCAGAAAATACACACACAGGCATGTACATAGACTGTGAAATGGGAGCCATGGGGGGTTTGGAGAAGAAGAATGACATGATCACTCTGGCCGCCTTCATTGTTAGTAGACTAACGGGAGCAAGGGCAGAAGCATGGAGATGAGAGGGGGCCATTGCAATAATTCAGTCAAGAAAAGATCATGGCTTGGACCTGGGCGGTGGCCCTGGAGGTGGTGAGAGGTAGTCAGATTCTGGATACGCTTTGAAGATAGAGCCAACAGTATATGGTGATGGACTGGATATGGAATGTGAAAGAAGGAAAAGGCATCGAGAATGACTCCCAGATTTTTTATCTAAGCAAAGAAGTGGAAAAATAGACTTGCAATTTCTCAAGAAGGAAAAGACTGGGAATGAGTCGGGTTTTCTGAGAGTGGGGAGGAATTCAATTTGGGACATGTTAAGTTGGAAAGGCCTATTGGTCTGCCAAGTGGAGATATTGAGTAGGAAATAGACGTGAGTCTGAGGTTCGGGGAGAGAGCCAGGCTGCAGATATGTGCTTGGAGGGTATGTCGAAAAATATACCTCAAAAATATTTTTACAACATTTTCTCACTGTATCCCATTTGATACATCTAAGCAAGATCTTCAGGCCACCGAGTAGTAGGGCAGGACTAGAATCAGATTTTCTGATTGCTAGTCCAATAACCTCATAGTGGAAACCCACTGACATATTTAACCTTGATTTTTTCAAAGGGCTGAGCTAATAAAGCAAAACTCTAGCACTGGAATTTTAGGTATATACAATAGAGGTGCTCACTACATCTAAGTACAAGAAAAGGTCTCAAAGAGCTGAATCATTCTTGTGATGCCTGTGCCATCAAAGCTAGGTATGAAGTCCCCCTGTGGCAGATGTGCCGTCAGATATCTATGGCATCTAAGAAAACTAGCACATTAATTACAATAATGGCACAAGGAGTGACAGGCCAGCATCTGTAAAACACCTTTGCAATCCAAGACCATTCTTTACCATCTTGGAACAGACGACACACATATCAAACAAGTGCATAACTCCTTGATAGTAAAATTGTGCAAACTGTATGTGCAATTAGTAAAGTGATAAGAACTTCCCTGGGGGGTTTGAAACATACCAAAAGTGTTCTAATCCCGGGTGTACTGCCTTTCCTTTGAAAGTGTGGTGTAGAAGTTGAAGGAGAAAAAGTGAGAAGCAAGACAACTTTCACAGATATTGTCCAGGAATACAGTGGGAAGGCAATATTGTCCTTTAGGGCAGCCATTTGCAAAGATCCTCCAATTTTTTCAAAGGAGTCTTTTGTTTATGTATAAAAATAACAGTGTCTTACAGTCATTTGGGATTCCTAGTGATCATTTTAGTAGCAGCGTCAAAAGTAGGTCTTCCGTTCATCTGACCTACTTTGGTTCAAGAAGAAACTACAGTACATCCTTTGAAACTGCTTCTCATTTGCTAAATTATTTCTTCATATCAACAGTGGTTCCTCTGCAGCCACTATGGGCTAAGCACTGGAAGATCTACCTTCACGGAAGAGCCAAAGGTGAGGAATACAGTTGCTGAAGAGCAAAGAAGAAAGCCTCGCCCCCACACATGTCCTGCTTCAGTGGATTTGATGCTTGTACAGGGCACTCTTGGTGGTGCCTACCTGATGCCAAGACCACATCGTGCTAAGCCAGTGGCAGGACAGCCTGGCATCCACATCTTCTCCTAGGCTTCCTCTTCTCCCCCACTGTGGTGCTCCATCTCTTCCTCTTTCCACCCGACTCCCTTTGGTGGGAGCCAAAGAGAAGAGCCCTGGCTGCCATGTTCACATCAGCTCAGCGTACACAATGCTTTAAACAACAACTTCTTAGGGTCTCAGTTTTGTTTGCTATAAAATTTGTGAGTGGAGCTCCATGATCCTCCCGATCCCTCTTCCAGCTCTTTAGCTCTACAAACGGAAACCACTTCCAAGAAGACAGAGAAATCTCCCAGATCTCCTGTTACTTTTGTCTGTTCAAGCTACAAATTCCAAAGTTGAACCCAACAAGGGTTCTGAAGCAGATGGGATGTTTGTGCATGTGCCTGGATGTATTTAGAGTATTTGCATGCCATCAAGCACCACCAAAACGAATCGGTTAGGCACCATGCATTCCAAATAAGCAGAGAGAATAGAATTCCATGAGGGTTTCCTGCACATGGATGTAAATAGAATCGCAAATACAATTAGCCTGTCCCCGTCTCATCTATGACTCAGAGGCAGGCAGAACTTCCCTGGGGGTGGGGGGGGTGTTGAAACAGTTGAAACATGCCAAAAGTGTTCTAATCTTGGGTGTACTTCTTTTCCTTTGAAAGTGTGTTGTAGAAGTTGAAGGAGAAAAATCCCTGCTTAAAAAATCACCTAAGCTAGATGGTTTTCAGTGAAAGCAGTTTGAATGTGGAGGAACCATTACAAACACTCAAAATGTTTTTCAAAACATGACTGCTAATTAGGACTCAAAATGACTGTGAAATTGTACTAGAGATGCAGACTAATGCTCCTGGAAATCCAGGCTTGACTGGCAGTGAAGCCACACCTCACGTCCTCTCCTCGGACACCAGGCGTGAGTCACCTCTCTGACGCCAGCTCTTTCAATTAATGGTGCAGACTCTCGCCACCATGGTAGCTGGCAGGCTTGTGTTGTTTCTGGGTCAGGCTATGTGTAATTTAGTAAGCCTGTCAGGATGATGAAGACACATAGCCTTTTTTTCTCCCTCTTCGAATCTGTGAATCGGGTGTCTTCTTCATAAAAGCAGGAGATGCCCAGCAGACTGCCGGTAGCCCCGGTATGAAGTCAGGATGCCCAGAGGACCTGTTTGGAAGCTCAAGCCCACTGTCCATCACTGCCCCCAGGCCGGTGATTTCACACAAACAGTGCTTTCCCACACACATGGCTTATGCAGAAGCTCAGTGCCCTCCACACGAAGAATGAGCATCGTAGCATCCAAGCCTTGAATCTTCTGGACGTGGATGTCAATGTGGACTCACAGTAATCACGTTCTCTCCACATCATACACACAATAGGCTCTGGCAAAGTGCTTTATGGAATCAAATCAAAATATTACCCTCACTATGCAATGCTTTCATGTTGTCGCTGGCAAGCTGTTTCCTCCATCCACCCTCAGTGTGGTATCTCTGATCAAGAATGGAAACACAAACCAGTCAGAGTTTGGCTGGAGGATTTCGGCAGCCTCTCTTGAATCTCTAGATAAGTTCTAATTTGAAACACAGGCTTTGTTTTGTGTAGGGAGGCGCCGCAGAGCCTCGTAAATACATCTTTCTATCTCAGAGCACCATGTTCCACTCAAACCTAAGTGCTGCTTTGTAGGAGTTCAACGGTACCTCTGTGTATTTACCTTCAATCGGAGACACAAAACAAAGCCTGGGCTTAAGTCTGGGTTAAAATCCATATTGTGGTGTAGATTTTATTTGAGGGGGTAGGAGGTTGACTTCAGTACCTAAACCAGTGCGCCCCAACCCCAGTTTACATGCACCCAGTATGTCTCCACTTACCTTAGCAAGGATCAGCAAAATTCTCAAAAAACATAATTTCAATAAAATACTTTTATTAAGCATAAATTTTTTCTAGTAACTGTATGTTGCATAGAACAGGCCTGTCCATTGACTTCTGGGCATAGTTGCCTCCTGATTAGTCAAGAAGGACCACAGGGCTGTTGGATGGAAGATTCTGCCACATTAGAAAGGACCTCAGACCAGCCATGTACTTCCTAAGCCTCAGACTTCTCAACTATAAAGTTGGGATAAGAACACCTATCTATCTATAGTAGTTTTATTAGAATTAAATGACTTTTCATATAAGACACTGTGTGGTTATTAATCAAGTCCTTCAAGCAGTTATTACAGAATAGTTGAATCAATCGATGTCGAACCCTCTTACATTCTTAAATGGTATGTGGTTTGAGTTTGTGACACAGACACTGAGAATGATGAGGCAAAGGGACTCGGAGAATACAGTTTTCTACCCCAAACCACTCACCACATATAAGAACTACGTGAAATGTACTTTCTGAATAAAGCTTCATTTGGTCCCCATGGAAACCTTAGATGTGCACGTTATTATCTGATGTTACAGATGAGGAAGCTGATGCTTACCGAGGCTTTATCAATTGTCTCTGATCTTGCAGCTACTGAATCTGGCTTGGATTGGCTGTGGGAAAACTAAAAGGATCTTATTTACACACAGCTCTGTCTGCTCTCAGCCTCCTCCCCACCACCCAACCCAACCTTATTAAGGAGAAAACCAATATCCTAGAATCAAACGAAACTTCTAGAAAATTTCTAAACAAGAGACCAACGCAGACTCTGATTGCAGCTTTCAGAACTGCTACCTGACCCCACCACGAGCCTGAGGTACATCCCACTGCTGGGCTAGGGGCCAGGAACCCTTCCATATGCATTGGCTCTATGCACAGTGTTGCCCCCAGGTGCCCAGTCAGATGGTCTCTTGCCCGTTTGCTGGAGGCCAAGCCCCCTTATATGAGCTCACATCTGTGCAATCCATAAACACAAAATAAACAAAAATGCAAAACAAAAATTCTTCTAGTGTTTCTTTGGCCAATTTTCTAATAATAGCTTAAACACTAGTTTTGTAAGAAAAATGAAGTTATGAAGAACAGAAAGTCTACTTTGAAAAATCTACCTTGCTCCACTTTGGTGGCCTTGCTTTGGTCCCCAGGCATAAACCTACACTGCTCGTCTGTCAGTGGCCATGCTGTGACAGAGGCTCACATACAAAAAGAGGAAGCTTGGCAGTGGATGTTAGCTCAGTGCAAATCTTCCTCAGCAAAAAAAACAATCTACCCTGAGCAATGTGAAAATAATCACTGATTAAGTTGAAGAAATTTCTTGCTAAGTTTAATAAGCAAGGTCAAAGATTTAAGGTTAGAAAAAAAAGGAAACATAGCAGTGAATTCACCCTTAAACTGTGGATCTGAATACTTGTGATCAAGATTAATCCTCGACCATTTGAAGCTACTTAAACACACACACAAACACACACTCAAGATAAAGTATGTAAGAAGCAAAATTCTGAAAATTAAGGCAGCAATGAGAAGCAAAGACCAAAATAGCTACATTTCCCACAAATACATCTAATAAAAGTCATACCACTAAATAGAAAGGATGAAAGAACAGAGAAACGTTTTCACCTGGAGAAATGTCAACTTGTGATTAACTAATTGAAAAGATACAGGATGGGGCTGCATATCCCTTATCCATCTGTGCATCCATCTGCTTGCCCTCATAAGAGGTAACCAGGGACAAGGGGCCGGCCCCATGGCGTAGTGGTTAAGTTCATGCACCCCGCTTCGGAGGCCCAGGGTTCACCAGCTCGGATCCCGGGTGCAGACCTACACACCGCTCATCAAGCCATGCTGTGGCAGGCATCCCACATATAAAGTGGAGGAAGATGGGCAGGGATGTTAGCTCAGGGCTAATCTTCCTCAAAAAAAAAAATGGAACTAACCAGGGACGAGCTGACTGCATCCACAGATCAACACGGGACACAGCGCTTCATACGGATGCAGACCCAAGCCAACATTTTCTCATGTATCTTGCTCACTGGTGGCTCGTTTTGATGAAGGTATTTGCAGATGTGACACCAAGTGTATCGTCTTGTGTGAGAAGAAATTGAAAAGGAGTGATCAAAGTCCCATTAGTGGTGATACTCCACCACCATTTACACGGCAGAATTGCCTAGTAAAGGAAACCTAAGAGGGATTTGGGTTCCCTGGTACTGATAAGGTTCCCGGAAAACTGAGCCCATCAGATCCACAAGTGTCTGAGCCACACCCCCCGAAAACTGCATTGTGCTTTGGCGTTGTGTGCACGTCTCAATTTCAGGGCTAATTTTTAGTGGTCAGATTTAATCATCAAAAATGATGCACTGCCTACCAAAACCTAGAGAGAAAACATTGCATATTGGGTAATCTCTGAGCTCCCAGGTGTGCCGTATTATAAATAACAGTAGTATCTATTTGTTTCCATCTGCTGAGGCATGGAAAAACTGTGTACTTGTTTGAGACTTCTTTTACAAAACAACCTAACACCTGCTTCATCCACAAGATGAAAAGGATATGAATGAGCTCTTCATCGTGACTCTGGATGGCTGTGTGAAGTTGATCCTCTAGGTACAATAACTTCTTGCCTATGGCTTCACACTTTTCTCCAAGTTCTGCAGAAAAGATGTAAGGCTCCTGGCCAGAGAAAAAGAAAAGGATGACTTGTGAGCTATAGACTTTTTCAGGGTCATGAACACATCTGTAATTTACCCGGCGGTCCACAAAGGGGAGATTTCCCAACAGAGCTCTCCCAGCTTCTGCAGCCTGGTGGAGTCATGCCAGAAGCTTTGTCTGCCCTGGAGGGCGTTCTTGAGAAGACATGAACCGATTTCAGGTTATTACTGAACGGCGAGACGTGACCACATAGCTCTACAGGTTACCACTCTTATCTGGTCATTTTAAAGCACTATTTCCAGTATGTCAGCTCCTAAAACGGGTTTATGAAATGGGACGCCTGAGTCTTCCAGTCGCATCCATGGGCAAATTCACAATATAATAGGAATTCTAAACAAAGTGGGGATGGGGCAGTCATAGGAACAAATAGGCTGACCTGTAAGAACAAAGAGATATTCCTTTACGGCTACCGGAATCTAAGAGGGCACTGAACATTTGTTTACACGCTGTTCACAGTCCCTGAGAGCGTGAATATTAAGGAGACCTTAAATGCCATGAAGTGTGTGTTATGTACACAGCTGTTGCTGCTACCACCATAGGTGTTAATTTTCTTTCTCCCTCACTGCAGCATAAGCCCCATAAGAGCAGGGACAATGACTGTCAAGCCCACAAGAGCAGGGACGACGATGTCTTGCTCACTGCTGGGTCCAGAGTTCCTGGCACAGTGTCAGACACATGGCAGGCACAACACGAATGAATAACTGAGTCTTGGAGCTCGCTCCTTCTCAAACGTTTCCCCTTCAAACTTATATGCCACATATGAGCCAGAAAAATGCCCTCTTCATGTCATTTTCCTGCACAAAACCACTACAGAGCAGAGTCCAAACTCTGCCCTTCCACAACCCAGCACTAGGCCCCCACTTCAGTTTTGTCCCCGCTAGTATCTAACCTTTGCCAACTAGACTGCTTCCATTGCCTTCTGCCACATTGTTCTTCCTGCCGGTCCCCTCTCTTCTATCCTTCTCTGAAACCCAGCCTCTCCTTCAAGGCCCCCAAACAATGTTTCCACCTTAGAGTACAGCAGTTCTGATACATGGTATGTCCTCACAAGTGATTGTCAACTCCCTGCGGGCAGGGCCATGGCATTCATCCCAGGACTTCAAGTGTAACGCCTGGCATACCAAAGGCCACGGATTTTTAAAAGAAAAGAATAAACAAGGTCAAGAAAACGAGGAAAGAAAACAGGGAATCTTAGCATAAAGGAAAAGGAAAAAAGCAGCATTATGCTTAGAGAGAGAAGTCAGACAGAGAAAGACAAATACTGTATGATATCACTTATATATGGAATCTAAAAAAGCTGAACTTGGGGTCGGCCCGGGGGCGCAGTGGTTAAGTTCGCTCGTTCTGCTTCTCAGCGGCCCGGGGTTAGCTGGTTTGGATCCTGGGTGCGGACATGGCACCGCTTGGCAAGCCATGCTGTGGTAGGCATCCCACATATGAAGCAGAGGAAGATGGGCATGGATGTTAGCTCAGGGCCAGTGTTCCACAGCAAACAGAGGAGGATTGGCAGTAGTAGGCTCAGGGCGAAACTTCCTCAAAAAAAAAACAACAAAAAAAAAGCCAAACTTGTAGGAACAGAGACTAAAATGGTGGTTACTAGAGCCTGAGGGAGTGGGGAATTGGGGAGATGTTGTTAAAAGGTACAAACGTGCAACTAGAAGATAAATAAATCTGGAGATCTAAGCACAGCACAGTGACTGTAGTCAACTGTGCTGTATTGTATGCTTCAAAGTTGCAAAGAGACTAGATCTTAAATGTTCTCACCACAACAAAGAAATGATAACTATGTGACGTGGAAAAAATGTTCGCTAAAGCTACAGTGGTAATCGTATTACAACAGATAAATGCATCAAATGAGTACACTGTACACCTTAAACCTATACAATGTTATATGTCAATTATATCTCAATAAAACACATAATAAATAAAAAAGCAGCAAAAAGTGAGCTCAGAATTAAAACTTCACCAAATGTAAAAGTAATATTTTCCCAACTAATAGTGAAAGTTTTAGAAAGGATACTAAAAAGAATTTTGCAAAAGAGAAAGAATTAAAACATATATTCAGATTAAACTGCAGGGTTACTACAAAAGCTGTAATTAATACCCCCAAATAACAACAAAATGCCCAGGTGTGGTGATATGTACCGTTAAAAAGTCCTTAGAGATCATGAGTTATATAATATTATGAGTGGAGTCCATGAATAACCATTAAATCCAGACATATAATTTAACACTCACTATAACAACTCTGGAATGCTTTAAAGTGTAAATCCCAAATGGTCAGCCATCTTAGAATAAAACAGTGGTAACGGGAACTATAAATAACTATTGTAAATTTTGCAGAAGTCTAATACACTGCAAGTAAATGTACATACAAAAGAAATCTAGTGACAACAACATATCACTTTGAGGACAAAGGAACGCAAGAAGGCGTGTGAAGCACGCATGAAGGTTTGCTCCCAATTGACCATAGCAGTGATGAGGAGAAGACAACAAATACACACATATATTTTAGTGATCCTAAAAATAATAGCATTATCATTCAAAGCTGTAGAATTACAGAGTAGGCAAATGACATGGAAGCTGAGACAATGGGCAATGAGTAACGCCACAGTCATGCGTGAAATAAATGAGACAGTAAGAAAAAGAACATCTGGAGGGAAATGATTGACAGTGGGGAAACCACAAGTCATACACAAAGGAGAAAAATACAGCGTTAGTGGGAAAATATATATGACTTAGAACACACTTAAAGAGAGAAAAAACCCAGAATCAGAACATGGGACCAAGGAATTTAAAGCACTCAGATGGAATCAAATGATTCAATCTCCATCTTAAGGCTAAAGTGAATATAAATCAAAGCTAAATTAAATCCATTCAAAGTATGGTTTCGCATTTCCCTCCTGTGATCGCTGCCTATTTTCCTTTTAAAACTGTATATAGATTGATAGTATAGGTTGATTGTGTGAATTTGGGAAAGCAATTTCAGACCATGTAGCCAAAACTTTAAATTGTTCATATCCTACAATCTAATAATTTCACTTCCTGGAATCCATCAAAAAGGAAATTTAGGTACTTAAATTTAATTAATTTTTATTAAGCTTTTTAAATGAGTATGGAAAAACGTCTATCATATATGTTAAATAAAAATATAATATTTCAATAATGCAAAAGTAATTCATTAAACATTTGAGAAAGAAGAAATAAATGTCCAACAATAAAAGGGACGGTTAAAATAAGATCCAGTGTATTCAATTCGTATTTAGCCATTAAAATCATCTGAATACAAGAATATTTAATGATGAGGAACCACTCAAATAGGCAGAGCACTAAAATATTAACAATTACAATTTGGAGAGGCAGTATTATGGCAAATTTTTATTTCCTTCTCTATGCTTTGTTGTATTTTCCACATCTCTAAAATATAATAAAGAAAAAAGTCACCAAGAACACTAATGCAAGCCATAATGGAAAAGTATGGAAGAAATCCACCTGAACATTTAAAAAACAATTTTAAAGATTAAAAAGACAAAGAAGCATAAGGAAACAAACTCAGAATGCTCAAGAGTCTATGACCTGTAAAAGAAGATCTGACTGTCATTCTCTCACAGGCTTTTTCTCCAAGTTATGGAATCACTACCAGGCTTTTGCACAAACCACTACTTGTTATCCTGACAGATTCTGATTCTGAACTGAAAACATACTGAGTGTGACCTGAGAGAGTATTATCTGAGGGGTTTATGGCTTTCCTATAATGCTCACATTTGCAATCCTGGGAATAGAATTAGTTTAAGACCTAAACTGAGAAGTGATAGCTCAAGAGAGGGTAGATTTAAATATTTCTATCAATCTGATGAAAAATTCTGCTCTGCTCAAAGGAATCCTGTTTGTCCACACACGGCAGAGCAGGACCAGAGTCATGGGTATCAGCTGCACAAAGTCGCAGAGGTCCTGCCTGTTAACCCTGAACTTGAGGGGCGAGGCAGAAGGTCCCTGTCTACCTCCAACGCTGTACCCAGAGAAGGCAGAGTGTACGTGTAGCCTTGGCAATATGGCTTTCCAGAACCTTGCTTCTCTGCTGTCAAGAAACAATTTATTACTTCCTCCCCTTGAACCTGGGTGGACCTTTGAGGATCCTTCAAAGAACAGAACACAGCAAAGTTGACATGCCTATCTTCCAAAGCCAAATCATAATAGGTGAGCGGTCTTCTCAGATCACTTGCTCTGGAACCAGGTCTCCATGTTGTGAGGAAGCCCAAGCCACATGGAAAGGCCATGTGTGGGTGTGTGGTTGAGAGCCCCAGCTAAGGCCCCTGCCAACAGCCAGACATGGAAGGGACTGAGCCTTCGGATGATTCCAGGCTCCACCTTGAAGTCATCCAGCTAACACCCAAACACTGTGGGGCAGAGACAGCCCTCGCCACAGTGCCCTTTCTGAATACCTGACTCATAGATCCATTCGTGTAATAAATGGTTGTTTTAAATCACTAAGTTGAGGGCGACTCATTATGCAGCCACAGTAGCTAGAACAGCAAGCTACACGGGTTATACCCTACACAGGAGCCTGCGTGGGTGGACAGGACTGTTGCCAAACAGTAGCAGGAAGTGCACCCTCATTGGCCCCTAGCTAAAGAGCAATTTCCCAGACTGACTAGATTTGAAGCTTATTGAAGTGCTAATGCCCAGACTTGTCTCAGGGTGGGAGGTCCTAGGCCTGCTGGGAGCTGTGGCTCTGAGGCTGAGAAGAGCAAGAAAGAGATGTTAAGGAGTGGCCACTGCTGTTGGTCAGTGGTCCCGGATCCCTGGCTCCGGGTCGAATGTGCAGGCTATTAAACAGTGCAGGAATGCATTCTGAGCGACATATTTGCTTGTAATTCGACCAACAGGGCCTCGCTTGCTTCTAGCTTTGGGAGAAATGGCTCTTTCTTTAGTAGACACTCAGCACAGCAAGGCGCTCCCAT